AAAAAAAAAAAACGACTGCATTTTGCAGTCTTCTTAAAAAAAAAAAGAAAAATTAAGATTGTGGGAATTTTTTTATATAAAAATATCCAGACTTCTTATACGAATTAGATCATCCGCAGGACGCAACCGGTCTACTCTTAAAAGTTGATGGTAGTGTTTTTTTTTTTGTTTTTATTTTTTTGTTTCTCGTCCGGTGTTCAAGGTTTTGTGCGGATTAATCTGAACTCGACTCGCGTTACGCATATGAAAATAATGGGTGAGTATCCAACGGAACTACTGCATACACAAAACCTCAAACTTTAAACTGAAATAAATCGCTTATCACTTGCTATAACCGCTCGTTGGTAGTTGATGGTAGTGTTGGAATTATAATTTGTGCCACAAAAAATGACAACGAAGATAATTAAATTCTGCCATTGCTCTGCAAATTGCACGCCACTCATTGATTCCGATGGGTTATGATTATTGCTACGTAGTTGCAGAGAACGCTGTAGCATTCGGCGTCTACGCTGCATTTTAAGCTCTAAAGGCATACACTTTTTCTTTAAAATTTCCCATTTCTCGCCTTCATTTTTGCTGCTTCAAGGTAGTTTTCATTTTCACTGAGATCTGGTCTGTGATACTGAGTACCCACAACCCCTGAAAAAATGGACGTTTTAACATCCAGTCTTGCTGATGTGATGGTCTCCGCTCTCTTCAATTTTATTTCTGATCAATTATCCACTTCGGAGTTTCTCAACTTTGCCCGGGAAGAGCAGTTTTTGTCCCAACTCAACATGTGGAAGAATCTTCTGCCCAAAATCAATGCCCTGCTCCATGACGCACAACAAAGCCACACCGACAGTCGTGCCCTCAAACTCTGGCTCTCCGATTTAAAAGACCTTGCTTACGATGCTGAAGATATCATTGATGAAATTGACACCGAGGTCCAGCGCCGGAGATTACTAGGACACACCCAATTTGGCACCACCAGCAAGGTACGCTTCTTATTTCCCCCATGTTGTGCTGGTCTTAATTCAAGTGGCATTAAGTTTAGTGGGCGGCTGGGGTCAGAGATGGAAGCTATCACTGCTAGATTTCAAGAGACTCTTAGGCAAAAGAAGATTTTGAATTTGGTGGAGAGAGGTGGCCAAGGGAGATTGAAGACAAAAATGGAAAGGCTGCGCTCTACTTCTTCTCTTGTTGATGAATCTCGGGTTTTTGGCAGGGAACAGGATAAAAAAGTCATTCTTGAACGATTAATGGATGGTAAAACTGGTGTCATTTCAATGGTCGGAATGGGTGGTGTGGGCAAAACCACGCTTGCTCAGTCAGTTTACAATGATGATAAAATTGAGAACATTTTTGAGTTGAGAGTTTGGGTTTGTGTCTCTACGGAATTCGATGTTATTAGAGTAACTAGGACTCTGCTGCAGGGTATTACTTCGGGTGATACTTCAGAGAGTCTGCTGCGGGGTGTTACTTTGGAGAGTCTGCTGCCGGGTTTTACCGCGGAGAGTCTGCCGAGGGGTGTTACTTTGGAGAGGCTACTGCGGGGTTTTACTTCGGGGAGTGTCAATTTCATGGACTTCAATTTGCTTCAAGTGAAGCTAAAGGAGATGCTTTCTGGAAAGAAGTTTTTGATTGTTTTGGATGATGTTTGGAATGAGAACTATGAGCAATGGGAGGTTCTGCGAACACCCTTCATGGCAGGAGCGCCTGGGAGTAAAGTACTTGTAACCACTCGAAATGAAAGGGTTGCATCCATCATGACCACATATCC